CGAAAATTTTCACAATGGTAAGATGTTCACAATATATTTAGGGGTTGAAATGGACCAACAATTAAAAATATTCTTGATTCATCCGTTATTAAGAAATCTCTTGCTTTGGGAGGTGATCGCAAAATATTTAGGGGTTAAAATGAACCAAAAACAGAAAAATGTTCCTGATCACACAATTGAAGCCAATCGACACGCCTGAGAAGACAGGAAAAAAGTCTAACATTTTTGATGACCATTGGATTATATTCAGCTGTAAATGGACGAAAACAACTAACAGCATAATTTCAAAAACGAAATCTCCCAAAATGGATTTCGACATAAGGGGGCTTCTATCATATTGTGGTGTTGTAGGGTATCACATAGTCGGTCCCGCACGACTATAGCCTTTGCTTACTTGTTTTTTTTTTTAATTTTATTGAATGAAAGCAAAAAATGTCGGAAATAGCATCAAATATTAGACATGTTCGTATTGGTCACCTTTGGCACGAATTGTGGCCTTTAAACAGCCAAGGAAACCGTCGCACGCTGCCCGAATGTTGCTCTGCGGTATTTTGGCCCATTCCCAGCGAAGCGCTTGAGGTGGTCGACACTTTGTTATTTTTTAGTGCCAACCTTGCTTTCCAAAAGACACAATAGTTCAACGGATTGGTATCCGGAGATTTTGGTGGCCATTGTGCGTTGGAAATGGAGCGAGGAATCTAATTTTGTAACCATTCATGGGTGTCGCGTACTAAGCACGATGGTGCTGAGTCCTGTTGGAATGTCCAAGGTCTGTGGCCAAAATTGTTGCATTCCCAAGGCTTTAATATACCCTCCAGAATATTTTCACGATAATATTCGGCATTTATTCTGATACCACGGTCTATTAATTCGAACGGAGAGCGACCATCGGCTGTTATGGCGGCCCTCAGCACACGTTCTGCCAACCGAAGGTGCACATTTTCAGCTGACCTCTTTGGCAAGTAAACATGATCATCTTGTTTGTTTACAAACTGCTGGACAACGAATGTTTTCTCATCGTAGAAAACCAAATTCGGCAGTTCACCACTTTCGGCCAAGCGAAACAACTCTTTAGCTCCTTTGAGCCTATTTTCTTTCTGTTGCGGTGTAAGTTCTTGCAAAAAACTGCAACAAAATTCAGACTGCTGTCATTTCTAAGCCACTCATCCGACAGCTGTTAAAATTATTCCAGTGACAACTCATTATATTGTTTACAAGCGTACAAAAGCATTTTGGTGAGAATATTCCAGAAAAAAAGTTATTCGTGATGGAATTCAAGCGTGATAGTGTGATTTCTTTATATTTGTCTGGAAAGCCACAAGTGACTATCGTTAGAGCACTCCAGCATTTAAATGCGAGTAAATCTTTTGTGTCTCGTGCCATCGCTCGTTACCGTGATACTGGTAGCTGGTAGCCTGACGTCAAGGAAATAGACGGAAGAAAACAGCAACATCACAACACCACTTGATCGAAATTCCGTGGCCCAAAAATGGCTCGTGAGCTGAACATATCGCAATATTCCATTCCGCAAATATTGAAAAATGAGCTCGGGGTAAAGTCATTGAAATTCAAAAAAGTGCAAGAACTTACACCACTTGGCCGAAAGTGGTGAACTGCCGAATTTGGTTTGCTCCGATGAGAAAACATTCGTTGTCCAGCAGTTTGTAAACAAACAGCTGAAAATGGGCACCTTCAGTTGGCCACTAGAACTAAAGCGCCGGCCATGGCGATGGTGTGGGTCGCCATAACCGCCGATGGTCGTTCTCCGCTCGTATTAATCGACCATGGTATCAGAATAAATGCCAAATATTATTGCGAAAATATTCTGGAAACATATTGTTGGAAACAACACGCGCCACCCAAGAATGGTTACAAAATGAGGTTCCTCGAGTCATTTCCAGCGACAACTATTGTGTCTGGAGTATTTTGGAAAGCAAGCGCTTCGCCGGGAGTGGGCCAAAATACGCAGAGCAACATTCGGGCAGCGCGTGACGGTTTCGTTAGACGTGAAGGCCATAATTAGTGCCAAAGGTGACCAATTCGAACAAATCTAAACTAATTCTAAAATTTGATGCTTTTTCCGACATTTTTTGCTTTTATTCAATTAAATTTAAACAAGTAAGAAAAGGCTATAGTCGTGCGGGACCGACTATGTTATACCCTACAACACTACAATATGTTAGAATCCCCCTTATGTCCAAATCCATATTGGAAGATTTCGCTTTTGAAATTAGGATTTTGACTAGGGACATTTGCCCAACATTTATGCACTCCGTCGGGCTGTTAGTTGATGTAGTCCATTTTACAGATAAATATAATCCAATGGTCATCCAAAATGCTAGAATACTTCCCTGTCCTTCACTCTCTTCACAGGCGTGTCGATTGGCTTCAATTGTGTGATCGGAAAGACATTTCTGTTTTTGATTAATTTGAACCCCTAAATACTTTGTAATCATCTCCAAAAGCAAGAAGCCCCTCCGTATCTCCTAATTTAGACTCATCTATATGATTTGCTTGTCTAAGACATTTGGCTAAATTCGTCAACGAAACCAGCATAAAAAAGCCAGAAATTCGCCTTTTGTGTATTTCGGATATCGCCTGTAAGTAATGCTGGTATTTTTTCACACAAAATTAGTGGTCCATTGTACCCGCTGTCCTAACTCTAACTTTTGCGAGATTTCGTGTCCTTTGGTTTCTATTTGTGACCTTTATAACGGCTGGAACATTTTTAGTTGTTGGTCCATTTGAACCCCCTAATATATTGCCCCCTACAATAGGCCTAGCCCTTCTGCGCCCAACCCTACCCTTGTGAAAATTTTATATGTATATATATAATAACCACTACTTGTTTTGTAAGGTGAAAAACATATTACAAAATATTATAAGTCAAATTGAAAAAATCGCATGCGATAAAAATATGAAAATAAAAAAATATCACAAAATACTACAAAATCTATATTAACATCTTTATTTTATTTTTATAGATTTTATACTTTTATGTCAAAGGGACATTCTAAATTGACAAAATTTGTCAAGATCGGTCCAGCCATTATTGAGATATTAGCATTCTAACTACCATCCCCTTCCTTTGTATATACACATTGAATATATTTCGCTATATATAACCGATATATTTACTATCGGCATCTATATAACGGTCGGGATTAAAAATATTCGCGATTTAATGGAAAATTTGACTTTTATTTAACACAAATATTATGGCCTATTTCACCCACTAGATTTTACACGATGACCATCAAAATTGGAAGGCTTCTGCCCAGCTCTAAGTCCTAGCTCCACGCTAACTTCCGTTTTGATTGATCTATTATTGCGACATGTAGCGCAACTGCAAAATCAGGAAATTTTTCAGTATTTGGTCCATTTCAACCCCTAAATATTATGCGATCATCTCCAAAAGAAATAGAGTTCTGTTCTGGCCCAAACCCCACCTCCATTCTAAATTTCGTGAAGATCGGACCATAATTGCGACCTGTAGAATGATTACAAATTAACATGGACAGACGGACAGACGGACGGACGGACATACATAGCTAGATCGACTCAGCTCGGCGAGATAGGAAGATCCATATATACTTTCCTATGTGGGAAACCAATATTTCGTGATGTTACATAATTTTTGGCCCAATCAAACGTATAATACCCCCAACACATAGTGTTTTATTATTATGAAGTTTAACTTTGTTGCAGACTTTATAGCCGATACGTATTTTTAACATCTGTGACCTGATAAGCCATGCCGTATATCTAGCTGAAGATTTCATGGCAGGGTCTTGGTCTTGGCAGGGCCTTTCTTTATGAACGTATAAAATAGGACAAGTGGAACAATAAGAACTTACAATGATTTTGTAACGACCATGGTATAATGAGGAGGTAGAACAGTTTCGTAAAGGTACTGAGTTATTCAAAATTAGAATCAACAGGTTGTTCTAACTTATTTCATATATTTCTCTATTTTTATTATTGATTAAAAAGCGTGAAAGATGAATGGAATGCCTATATTTTTTTTCAAAAGTATTATCCCATTTGATCAATCTTTCAACTACATGACAAAAATGGTTATTACCTTTAATTTGCGCGCTGCAATGTGCGTTTCTTCCAATTATTGATTTTCAAAATATTATTTTTTAACAATATATAAATACACAAATTTTGCAAGATGTCGGACATACTTAGAAAAAATTGTAATCAGCTGGTAGCTATAGCTTACCTTTCTGTTGTACCATGAATCTACCATTTGAATATAGGGAAATAAATTTAGAATTTTTAAAATAAATTCCAAGGATTCCACGAATATTCATGCTAACTATTTAACTCATTTCCCAAGCCTTAAGACCACATTATGTAATAATAGTTTTTAACCCAAATCCTAACTAAAACCACCATTTTCATTTGAATTTTCCACAACATAGATGGGAAAATGTGTTTAATGTTATTTATGGTAAATTTCACACAGTTCCGGCTTTGTAGCGAACGAACAAGCCACATTTTAAGGAAACACAAACACACACACGCACCCACATTGAACTTGCTTCGGATTTTTGCGCTCAAAAGGAAGACGTTGATGGAAGCCACAAGAAAATACAATAACTCAATCTAAACAATCTCTGCCATGCCACATGCTCATAGAGGGGGTAAAAAGAGATGGGGAGACGGGGGAGAGGAGAGGTAGAGCGAGGTTATGGGTTTGGCTTCCATTTATGCTAATAAATGCCAGTATTTAAAAGCACCTATGTATGAACAAAGAAAAAATAAAAAAAACAACAAACAAAAGAAAAACCAATGAAAGCAAAACCTAAAACAATGCTTTTAAGAGAAAAATGTTTACACATCCTGTTAGAACATTTTCTGGGAAGCGATATTTTTGCCAAAAGTGCTGCTACAGCTGCCGATGGTGGCTACGATGATGAATATAAAGATGATGATGATGATGTTGACGATGCAAATGATGGTTATTGATTTCTCTTTTTGCTGTTACTCACCGCGAATTCATCCAACAGTATATAATCGGATTGTACATGGAATTACTCATTGCCAGCCAATATATGAACAGGTACACCTCCTGTATGAAGGGTGTCTCAGTTATGGCCGGATAGCAGGAAGTCACAATGAAATATGCATGAAATGGGAGCCAACAGACGACAAATATTAAAACCACAACCATCATCATTTTAACCACCTGAAAGAGAAGAGACGACAAAAATGGAAAGGAAAGCAGATGATGAAAATGCCACACATAGCTTAGAGTGTTACAAGGAGCACAACAATTTTTGAAGTGGATATGCCAATGGCATATTCGTTCCACATTTGCCATTAAATTGTTGTTGTTGTAACTTTTTTTTTTTGGAAATTCATGACATATTCTTGATAACATCATCGCATGATCAAGCATTGACTTACACGACGTTTACTTTTTACATTCTCCACCTGACGCGGTGTATATTCACCAATGGCCTTGGAACCCCACAGCTCCAGTCCCACACGCGAATAGGTTGCGGTCATTGATATGACGGGTAGAAAATATGTGAGTATCATAAATAATATGTTGTAGCTGCAAAGAAACCAAAAAGAATAGAAAAAAGAAAGGGAGAGAGAGAGGGATTTGTTATTCAAATTATTTGAAAATATGTGATACAAAATATGTGCGTATGTCTCTTTGTCGAGACTTAACATATCATAACAAATTTTATATGGAAAATAACCACACACACACTCCCAAATTTTTTTGTGAAATATTATATTCATAATATTTTCGTTTGTTATATGTTTTATTTTTATTCCGATTTTTGATTTCATATAAATACACATTTATTTGTTATTTCCTCTGACTTGACGTGGTTTCGCATTCAAATTATATCGATTCGACAAATATTATTCATAACATCATCAAAAATATGAAATTTATTTAAATTTTAATTGCCATGGAGGGGATAAATGATATCTGGCATGTTTTTATTATGGTACATTTTTTTTATTGGTCTTTCAATGCGGCACAGCCATGCGTATGAGTATTGTCGCTGGAAATATAATCATCATACGCAAGGGTGAACATAATATACAGTTAAATACAAAATTTAAAAAAGGCTTTATACATTACGGAGACAAATAACAACTTCTACATATAGCCTGTATTTTTATTATTTTTATGAGCTAAAGGGAAATTTTTCAAAAAAAAAAAAAAAAAAAAAACAGTGAAGAAAAGTGCATGAACTCTTTTTTTGAATTGATAGTACGGCTGAAGCTAGAATCTTGAAATTTTGCACGAGGATCAGTCTTGATGCGTAGACGTGTGATAAGGCTGGGTTTTTGGAAATTCGTACTAAAAGGATATGAAAAGTATTACAATGTACTAAAAATTGAATACTTTTTATTGTACAAACGGAATGAGCTAGAATTCTGAAATTTCGAATGTGAGTCACTGATGGAGTGAAGGAAAAACATTTTTATACCCTCCACCATACATAGTATGGAGGATATATTAAGTTCGTCATTCCGTTTGTAACTCATTGAAATAATAATTTTAGACTCAAAAAAGTATGTATATTCTTGATCAGCGTAAAATTCTAAGACGATTTAGCCTTGTCCGTCCGTCTGTTGTAATTACGCTACAGTCAAAACGAATTAAGATAGGAAGCAAAAATTTTGCACAGATCTCTCTTTTGCCTGCAGGCAGGTCAAGTTCGAAGATGGGCTATTTCGGTCCACGATATCGTATAGCCTCCATATAGCGGTACCCCCGATATTCCGTATTTTGATGAATTTAGACACATTTTTCAATGGAATTGTCTGAAATTCCACACAAGGAGTTCTTTGTGAGCACTTTATCCCTTGGAAGAGAATTATCTATATAGGTCCACGATATCGTATATAACGGCACCCCCCGATATTCGGTATTTTGATGTTTTTGGCAACATTTTGTCTGAAATTCCATACAAAGAGTCCCTCGTGAGTACTTTACCCCCTGAAAGAGAATTGTCTATATAGGTCCACGATATCATATATCCCCCACATAAAGGTACCCCCCGATATGCCTGGAAGTAAAGTACTCACAAGGAGTTCTTTGTGAGTACTTTACTTCCAGGCATACATTTGTCTATATAGGTCCACAATATCGTATATCCCCCCATATATCGGCAACTTCAGATTTTAGGTATTTTAAAGGTTTAACCAGAATTTTTAATGGGTTTTTCTAATTCGTTCCAAATGGTGAGGGTATTCAAAGTTCGGCCCGGCCGAACTTTCTGCTTTTTTACTTGTTAGAAATTCGAAATTTAAGGAAAGGTTCTAAAATGCTACTGAACTTCCAAAGTAGTATCATTTCGTATTATATTAAATAATAGAGCTTAAAATAACAATTTGGTATGGAGGTGAATATGCGAAAATGAATTTAACTAACTATTTAACTCATTTTCCCTAGTCTGAAGAAATCTCAACTAAAACCACCATTTTCATTCGAATTTCCCACAACATAAATGTGTTTAATATTTATTTATTTTACACAGTTCCGGTTTTGTATCGAGCGAACAAAAAATTTTAAGGAACCACAAACATACACACGCACTGACATTGAACTTGCTTTGGATTTTTGCGCTTAATTTGTTCTATGGGATCTGATAGAGCTTAAAATAAGAATTTGGTATGAGAATCAATATATGTTTGATATACGAAGGTGGTTGGGAAAGGTGTACTAAGTGTGCGAACTAAATGATATTAAATTTGTTTTGAAATTTTGTATTGGTGTCCCTGTTGGTGGTAGGTTTTTGATAAAAAGGTGAATTTGAAAACCGGTACTGAAAAAGTACTATATTTGAATCATTTTGGTATTGTGTGAAAATTGGGTTCGTGAAATCTGAATTTTGGTATTATGGTCACTATTCGTGTCTACACACGTGGACATATGGAGGTGGTTTTGGAAGTGAGAAAAATAGTGAAAGGATCTATATTTATTATTCGGCGAAAGGATAGAAATACAATTCTGAAATTTGATAGTTTGATTACAAATGCTGTTTGAGGTTGAGATTTGGCGGTGGTTTGGAAAGTAAAGTACTAAATTGGATAGAGCTGGAATCATCAAATTTGATATTGAGGTCTCTGTTGGTTTTTGGAGGTGGTTTTGAAAATGTATACTATAATTGTACGAAAAGTACTAAATGTTACTAAATTTGGCATTAGGTGAAGGGATAGAGCTGAAATTCCGAAATTTGGTGGTGTCTGTTTTTTGGTTGGTGTCTGTGCTTAAGCTATGGAGTTGATTTTGGAAACGCGTGCTGTATTTGTACGAAAAGTACTAAATGCTACTAATTTTCGATATTAGGTGAAGGGATAAAGCTGTGAGCCCGAAATTTGATATTCAGGTTAGAATCTGGGGCTGATTTTGCAAATGCCTACTATAATTATTCAAAAAGTACCAAATGAAACTAATTTTGTATCACTCTTGGTATCTAGGAGGGAGATGTAGATAGTCTGAATATGCGTACTAAATATTAGGTGAAGCAATAGACCTTAAATCCTGAAATTTGATATTGAGGACACTGATAGTTTCAAGAGATTACATATGCAGACGTTGAAGTAGTTTTGGACAGAAAAAATAGGAGTAGGTTTATTCTGCAATGGTTTTATTAATATCCTCCTCGGTTGTGGAAAATCCCAAATAGATTTTATAATACTCGTTTTTAGATCGAAACGGCCAGAAGAGTTTTGGCTTCTAAGGACAAACTTTTTGTGAGCGTTTACACATGCTTGACTTTATACAAAGGAAACCCAATATTTTGAAAGCACTTATAGTTCTTATATATATCGAATCCTTCGCAACATTTACTATAGAGCTTTGAAAAAATGTAGAGAGCTCTGTATTAATCCAAGAATCATTAGTATAAGAGCATTCGCTCAACAATTTGGTATAATATTTGCATCAGTGCTAGGTCAGGTGCGTAAATGGACAATATCAGTCCACACCATCAAGCTCCTTCCCAAAAAGGGTCAAAATTTGGAATCTGAGTCCGATTGTCTTCAAATTACACACATCACAAAAATTTCATTAAACCAAGGTCTGGTGTGAAGATGGTTCACTCTTTTTGTACTGGTATATCGGTTCACTCTTTCTGTACCTCCCACACAAAGGGTCAAAATGTTGAATATACTGAAACTCATAAGACACGAAATTAACAACCGATTCCATTCAGACTTGGCACATCTCAATATTTCTATCAAGATAAGATCTGTTATAAAGGTGGTAGAGATCAGACCATTTCTTTTGGTACCTCCCCCACAAAGGATCAACGTTTCGAATAACCAAAACTATTATTAAATCCGAAATGAACATCCCATTATTTCTACTAACCAAAGATCTGCTGTGAAGATGGGATATATGGATCCACTACCTCTCCCACTAAAGGGTCAAAGTTTGAATATCCATGAAGCTTATAAAACGCGAAATTAATACATTTCAATATTTCTATCAACATCTGTTATAAAGATGGCAGATATCGAACCATTTCTTCTGATACGTTCTCCACAAAGGGTAAAAGTTTCGAATAACTCTTTAAAATTCACACATGCAATTCATTTTACTAACACAAGAAAATGCTTTGAAAATGTGATATATCGGCGAACTGTTTCCGGTACTTCCCCCACAAAGGGTTCCACATTTTGAAAAACAAACACTCACTCACTCTGCCAACCCGTTCTGTTACCTCAAGGACAAAGATTCAAAGGTCCAGTGTTTATATCTGTGATAATTGCGAAACAAGTCAACACTTCTCTGATATGAATATGTAATCTGATATTAATACGTAATTAATCGGAATTTGTGATTTTGTATAAAATCGAATATAAATGTTCGATTTACTTTAAATTTTGCACGTGTTAATATTTTGTGGAAGTGGAATATTTCGGTCCGCTTTATCTGGTACCTCACGCATATTTCCACATTTTCAAAAAAATGTACACTTATTTCATATAAAGTATAGGAAGTAGACGACGTAGTCTAAATATGGCACGTTATAATATACATCTGTCGGCAAAACCGATTGATACGATTTAACTTGTTTTTATACCCTCCTCCATACTATGGAGGGTATATTAATTTTGTCATTCCGTTTGTAACTCCTCGAAATACTCATGTCAGACCCAACAAAGTATATATATTCTTGATCAGCGTAAAATTCTAAGGCGACTTAGCCATGTCCGTCTGTCTGTCTGTGTGTCTGTCTGTCTGTCTGTCCGTCTGTCTGTCTGTTGTAATCACGCTATTTTTCGAACAAATTGAAATAGAAGGCTAAAATTTTGCACACATGTATATTTTGCCAGTAGGCAGGTTAAGTTCGTAAATGGGCCATGTAGGCCCAAGTTATCATATAGCCCCCATATAACGGTACCTCCCGATATTCGCTATTTTGATTATTTTAGCGACATTATTCATCGGAATTGTTTCAAATTTGGCATTTGAAGTTCGTAATGGATACTACAGCCTAAGACAGAAAATAATCTGTGTAGGTCCACGTCTTCGTATAGCCCCTATATAACGGTACCCCCCGATATTCGGTATTTTGA